ACACACACACACACACACACACACACACACACACACACACACACACACACACACACACATACAGACATTTTGTAAAAATAATATTTTTAGACGTTTTAAAACATTTTAAACATATTCCCAAAGAAAACTGGAAAAAAATTTTTTTCACGAAAACAAAGCTTCCTCTACGAGGAAGCAATACTGTGTGTTGGTTACAGAAGAGACATTCGGAGCTTCGTACAGGATATGTCCACTCCCGTGGACGAGTACGGGAACAAATTGAAGGAGATATACGAGGAGCTGCGCGCTTCGCTAATGATGTCGGAAATCAACGAGAGCAGAAAAGAAAAACAAAATGGGACGTCCGACGAAAGGAACGCACAGACGCAAAGTGTGGGGATGCAAATAGGGACCAAGTGAGAGAGAGAGAGACGTGTACGAGTAAACATTAATACGATTCATATGCCTTTTCACGTGTAACATATATTTGTAAACTGGTAAAGTACAATAGTTGAATAAACGCTGGTGTAAGAATATAGCGAGACAGTGTGTGTATGGAGGAGTAATTAGAGAGTTTAATACCGTTTTCTCGTATCCGTGACAGACGCAACTGCAAAGATAATCCGAGGATGAGGAAAAGCAATAAGGAAAAAGATGACACGCTTATTTACTCTAGTATAAAGTGCTATATTTGCAAGTATAATATGGTTCACAGGTACTACGACATATGTGTACATAATGTATACTACACATGTACCAGTGTATAGGGTATAGGGTATAGGGTATAGTCGTGTAAGTAGACACGTAACAGTATAGAGATATAGTGCAATGAAACAAATATGAATAATATGTTTTACAAACATGTGTCGAGAGCCATTTCCCGTTCAATCAACCAATTGCGCAATTTGGTAACGTGCGTTATTGCGCAGTGCGCGGTGTGGGGTCTGCATCGAAACGCATTGTCCGTGCTCATATACATCAGCCCCTCGATGTCCTCGTAATCCGCGTCGATGGACTTGACACAGCGGGCGCTTTCGTCGAGAATCTCCTCCAGCCACTTCTTCTTCTCGTGCCCTTTGACGTAGATCTTCACGTCGTCCGCCAATCCGTCACACGTGGCGCGTCGTATTAGTTGTTTGGAGCGCGGGTATGGGACGTCTCCATCTTTCCACTGCAGTCCGTGATGATTAGCCGTTAGCCAGCAAGCTTGCGATTTTTCGTCTGTCGTTAGTAGATCCCAGGCCATCGGTGCTTTGAAAACATGATGCGTTAACACATTTTTGTCTCGCAGCACGGCCACCTCCTTTACGATGAATTTTGCATCGACGATGAAGCCCTGCAGGTCGACGAAGACAGGCACGGTTGACATCGTGTGTGTGGACGCAGTCTCTTTAGGTGTACGGTCAAGCAGCACGGCTATCTCTCGTGAACGATGAAGTGTTTGTTGTATTCATCGACTACGAAGCTTCGGAGGTCGACGAAGACTGGCACGTTTGACAGTGCGTGTTCGGGTGGGATCTGAACGACTCTGCAGTACCGTCGTGCGAGACGGCGCCGTTTTTATACCGTATTTGTGTGGTTGTCGAAGGACTGTACTCGATGACTCGGCTATGAAAAAAACTAGTTATACAAGTTTCCGCACCACATTCGTCAGGGGACTGTACTCGATGATTCGATCATGAATAATAAGGCAATACGCTGTGGTGTCGGCCGGAACGTTTTCCTTACACTCGAACTCTACGCGAACGTCTACGGTGGCGCTTTTCACCGCCTCGTTCTGACGAGAGCAATCGATCACCATGATTGGGCCGGATGTTAGGAATGATTTTACGTTTAGATACGCATCGTCGAGTTTTCGACCATAGTACGATTTTTGAAATTTTGCATACATGTCGTACAGTATAGCAAATTTATTGTTCTCGATATCAAGATTCATGTCGTCATAAGGATAAAAGTCCGAATTCAAATACAGTTTCACGTTGGTGAGCTTGCAATAATCGAAGGTCGAGGAATCCCGTGTCAACACGTTTCGTCGTCCTGTCTGTAGGGCAAAGATAACGTATCGCGGTTTCTCTAGTTGCGCCGCAGTTTTTACGGCCCACGAGTGCTTGGTCGTGCTCTGCAGCAATGGAAATTCGTACAGATCCCACGAGCGAAATCCGACGCTTAAAAACCGTCCGCTCTTCAGCGTTCGCAGAAGCGACAATTTGTTCACGTCGTTCAAAACAATGTGCGGCATTCGCCATTGCACCCTCGAAAGAACGATTTTCGGACTTTTAGCACTCTCCTGCGCCACAATGCAATTGGTATCGGTGCGCGCGCGTATCAAGATAAGTTCGTGTCGTGCATTCACCACTACGCGTTTGTAGTCCTCGCAAAAGCCCAATAATATTTTCAAGGGGACGCACAGGCTGAAGGAACCGCTGTCGGAAACGTTTGGCTCACCCCACCTGGCGTTCGGCAATATATCGAGCTCGCGCGACGTCAACGAAACGTTAAGCCTCCGCTACAATGATTCTCGGTTCTGTCTACAATGGTCGTAGTCTTAGAATCGTAGAGTCATGGATTGAGTCGTATCACGACACTTGTCTACATACTATCCTAAGTCGCAGCACAACAGCCAATCAGAGAAGAGACGTTGTTGCGTTCTTTCAAGGAAGTAAAATGGCTATCTATTCATTCTATAAGGGGAAAGTGAGGTTATATTATTACTATCTGAAGAATATAGACTATCTGAAGATTATATTTATGTGGTTATTCGGGAAAGTGCGGCATCGAGTGAGGACATGTTTGTTATAGACGTTGCGCCTGATTGAGGATACGTTAAATACACATACAAGCAAAAATGGAGATAACAAATTTGCGTGCAATTTCTGATATTTTGCTATTCAGTGCTCGCTATTTGCATTTTTCGCATTTAATATCTATGGGGNNNTTTTTAGAAATTCAACATATACGATGTAAAGTACACGAATACGTGCACAATTTACGGAAAACAAATTTTTTTTCCTTTGTGATATTATACGTTTTTTTACACGATACATATTTTTTTCGGGAACTTTTTATATTCTTGGCGCCGTAACTGAGTCCGCCATTTCGAAATTTCAAATATTGCACACAGCATTCGAAAGTAGACTTTTTAAGCTAAATTTTAAGCCCAAGCACAACTTTTTTGATGCACATGAATTATGGAGAGGCCGGTGGTCCGGTTTACAAATTTTGCCCCCTATATATTTGTATTTGAAACGAAAGAGGCGTCAGAGAGAAAGAAGATGGTGGGTGAGACCAATAAATAAAACAAGAAATGAATTGGGATTCTTCTGTAATCAATTTAAAGAAGCGTATGAGACAGATCACGAAGAATTTTTTGATATGACACGGATGGCACCTGTCCAGTATAACCATTTGTGCAATTTAGTCAGACCTTTTCTTACAAAGACGAGTATGCGGAAACCTATTTCAGTAAATGAACGGGTAGCTGTAACTCTTATGTAAATAAACAAAATCTTATCATATTCTTTTTCATTATAAAATTTGCATTTCTTGCATTATTATATGTTAACAATAATATTCTCTCATAATTTAAGGTTCCTCGCCCATGGTGATAGTGCTCGATCAAAATCGTGGGAATTTCGAATTGGCAGATCAACTATATACAAAATCGTGTATGAGACCTGTGATGCAATCTGGCAAGCTCTTCAAGCCCAGTACCTGCCCAAGCCTTCACAAGAAATATGGGAAGAAACAATAAATGGATTCTGGAACAAGTGGAACTTTCCAAATTGTATAGGGGCACTAGATGGAAAGCACATAACAATTCAAGCCCCACCAAACAGTGGTTCATTGAATTACAACTACAAGGGATTTTTCAGCTTTATACTGATGGCAATTTCTGATGCCAATTATAAATTTATTTGGATTGATGTTGGTGACTATGGTAAGTGATATTTTTATTCTTATGTATTTAAGCATTTGTTCACCGAATACATGAATGAATTAGAATTGTTTTGCAGGTTCCAATACTGCTGGTGGAATATGGACAAATACTAAACTTGGCCAAAGTTTAGAATCCGGTACAGCAGATGTTTCCTCTCCAAAATTATTGCCTGGTACAGTAAATGAAGTACCCTGCGCTTTGGTGGGAGACGAAGCATTCCCTCTCAAACCATACCTCATGAGACCATATCCAAAAAGATCGTTAACTGATTCACAACGAATTTTTAATTACCGCTTATCCAGAGCAAGGCGAACAGTTGAAAATGCTTTTGGGATTCTTGTTTCCCGGTGGAGAATATTAAGAAGATCAATTCAGTGCAAAGAAGATACTGCTTACAAGATTGTGCTTGCCCTTACTATTTTACATAATTTTATCATGTCCTCTAATACACACAAGTACTGCTCATCACAGTTTGTGGAAAGACAGTTTGTGGAAACCACGAAAGAAGTGGCACTGTTGTTCCAGGGCAATGGCGCAATGAAGAACTGGGACAGCATATTCGACACATTGGTCAAGTCGGCTCAAACCGAAGCGCTTGTACTGCGAATATTCAGCGAGACACACTTAAAAAATATTTTTAACAGATGCTGATGCAGTTGACTGGCAGTTCGAGTATGCATTGAGAGGTTACACCATTAATACAAAGACTTAATTATTAGGTGACACAACTGATATGTTAATACTTGAACTATTCTGTGGGTATGCATTTTTCTTGTTTTATTCATTCGTTTGGCACCTCTTGACGAAACGTGTATAAACCATATTAAAAGTAAAACATTTCTCATAAACAATGTGGATTTATAATGTTAGGACTGATTATTTTTGGAGAATACGTTGATATAAAATAATGTATATTTTAAGATTATTTTTAATTTATACATATGTATAATTTTTATTTATACATATACTAACACTTTTGTCAAAAAATATATTTCTATTATACCTGTCAATTACTTTCGCCTGAAATAAGAACCTTTTATGTATTAAAAAACAATATGTAATACTTAAACCTTATTAAATAATT